AATAGCCATGATTTTGAATAGCAGAAAAGAAAAAGGGAGTTATTATTTACAAGTTCAAGAAAAGTACTTTGTTGCTTTCCACTTATATTAGCTGCAGTCTTGTTTGCTGTTCTTTGTGGTTTAATTTGCAGATTTCAATAACGATCTTGAAACAAAGAGTTCATGTACATTCTAGTGTGGTTTCACTAGTTATAATTGTTTCTGTTATCTTGGCTGTGCTGCTTTAGATCTGTAAATGGAAAGTTTTGCCTCATTTTCCTTTCCCTTTTGGCTGTGTGGCAGAAACAGGTTATCCAGTGTTGTCAGCTGATGTTTGATTAAGCTTTCTTGGATTTTTTTATTTGTTTGGTTTTGTATTTTCTTTTTCACGTTTTCTCAGTCAAGCTTCATATTAAAATAACCTGTCCCCTGATTCCATTATTTCTTGTAAGCATTAGGCATGGCTTATAGTTGCATTTTCTTAACATAGCCCTTCCTATTCAGCAACCTTGTATGTATTCTTATCATACAGCAAATTGTTATATGAAATGTGACATGAAACAAACCTGTTAGCCTAACATTCATGGTTGGCAAATATGGGGGTGGGAACAGTACTAGGAAGGTCATGAGATGTTAGTCTAATTAGCATGGTTTTGGCAGAGAAAAAGTGCATTATGCTGATCTGAGAACTCTTTGAACTTGTCATTGTTGTGGACAAAGGAGGGGGGAGAAATAAGAATAAATTAGAGCTTTCAAAACGCCTTTGACAAGTTCTTATCCAAGAGGCTGTTGAACAAGCTGAGGAAGTCGTGGGATGCAAGTGAAGGGTCTTTTGTGTAAAAGGCACAAGCAAAAAAAAAAGAGTTCAGACACTGCGCTTCAGATATTCTCTGATAATCAGGGTAGTAGCTGGCTTGTAAGGTACTGACACTTCTATAGGTGACACTAATGAGGACCAAACTTCTAATGAAAACCAGAACAGGCTGATTGATTGGATAGAACAGGGATGGTTTAGATTTTAATGAGAATAAGTATAAAGCAATGTGTATAGAAAGAATAAATGTAATCTGCTGGTGTCTTACAAAGCTTTTACACGGATTCTGAAAGGCTGTTGGGCATCTGTGTGTCAGGTTGAAGGCAAGTCTCTGTGCAGTTTGGCTTTAAAGATAAGATATGGTGACATTATAGAAACTGTTGATACTGGTCTTTTGCAAGTACAAAATTTAGCAAGTTTCAGGAAGTAATTCCGGGTGTTTATATCCATATGCCAGGTTTATTGATTGTATAAGGACCTCTTGGAAGAGAAACTAAATACTCTGGCTTTAAACATAAGCTATCGATGGGCAAGATAGGATCTAATGTAGAGGATGAACTTGAATTTTGCACGTTCTTGTGTGTCTGAGATTGGTCATTAAAATAAGAGGAAATAGTTTTTACATTGGAAATTATATCATGGAGTAGTCTGTAGCTTAAGCAGGTTGAATAGAACCACCAAACCCTAGTTTCGTACCCCAGGCAAGAATAGTATTTTTCTAGATTAAAATTCACTTTTATAATTGGATAGACACTCCAAATGTGTCTCTTCCTAGTACTTAAGTGAAGAAGGGGTGTTTTAAACCAGAACTTCATGCAATTTTGCATGAAGACGTACCTTTCTGAAGGTATTTGCGTCTACTGCCTCTTTACAGATTGAAGTGGTGTAATATTTTGATAATTGAGAAGTAATAAATGGGTTTACAAATCTTGCATGTCACCTGGGAAGAAAGGGGACATAGCATCAGTATAGTACAACCTCTTATTTGTTTGCCATAACTGCTGAAGACCAGGCAATGTAATGGTAAGAACACATGGGTATGCTTTATGGACAAGTTTTCAGTGAATCCTGTCTTATTTTTGCCAAAGGAATTGTTTCCAGATTACAGGACTAAAAATTACCAAGTTACTTGGTCCCTGTGAAGAGGAACAAGTTGGCAGATACTACCCCTAGTTCCAGTAAGCTCTGAGAGAGGAAAAAGATACTTTAGGGGAGGACCTGCAGATGGGATTCCTTCCATCTGTAATCCCCTGGTGAAAGTAGGCAGACATATGGTTAGTGGTTTATATGACTGTTAAGCAGTTGTATTGGATACATTTGTTTCTGGTTTGGTTTTTTTTTGTTGGTTTTTTTGGTTAAAAATTCTGGTCTTCACAAAGTGCATTTTGTCACTGGTTGCTGCTGGTGCTTCTGAGAAAGCAATCTGTGATGTGAGTCTAAAGTCTGGTAGGTAAATTACAGGGATTTTTAATGAACATAGCAATGCATCCACTGTGACAAGATCATGTAATTCTTGTTAGTCCTCCAAATAATTTGGCAGAAGTCTGAAAGCTAGAAATTCTGCTCAGAAACACCAACAGGGATCAGAGTTGGAAATTACTTGGCTATTAGGATGTTTCTTACACAAATCTTGTTCTGTGTTCTTGCGGTAGGTATCTTAAGCATATTCCTGTCTACTTCTCACAAGCTCTGTATACATGCTAAAACTTTAATGTATCTTGTAGAGTTTCCCCATGTTGCCTAAACTTTTCTGAAATAAAGCACCATTATGGGCCGGTAATGTCAATTTTTTTATTTATTAATTTAAATCATTTATTAACACAGTATTTGGATGGGTAAGTCCAGATGTAGGATGCTCCATCCCTGGCAGTGTTCAAGGCCAGCTTGGACACAGGGGCTTGGAGCAACCTGCTCTAGTGGAAGGTGTCCCTGCTCATGACAAGGGGTTGGAACTGGATGTGCTTTAAGCTTCCTTCGAACCCAAACTGTTCTATGTATCTTCTTTTGTCTTTCTCATTGATTTTGTTCAGAGTAGTACAGGAAGGTTCACTGGGGTGCTGTGGGTAGAACGCTTGCTGCAACAGAAGAATAGTCCTTTTGAATTTTTTTATATACCAAAATGTACTGCTTCCTGTCCAGGGGTTGGTCTCTCTTGTGTTACCTTAGACAAAACCTTTGTTTCTTGAGTGACTGTAGTAATTAGCTGAGGCAGTGTACAATGTTAACCTCTGTGTACTGTTTGCAGTGGCTAGTGCACTCTGCAGAACACTGCATGGTGTAATGTAGATATTGCTGCTTTTAAAATGTCAAAAAAAAAAAAAAGCAATTTCCAATGCAGTTTGTTAGTGCAAATGTTCTTATTACTGAAACTGATGCATTTTTCTGCCAGTAAGCATAACAATAGAAATAACGTGGTGAAAGCTTGCATGTCTCTAAATGAAATTAACTTCCCTGCTGAAGCTAAAATATTGATACATAGCATTTTAATGTGATTAACCAGAAATCAACACAGTATATAACACATCTGAAGGGGGCAGAGTTCTTCCTTCATATTCCTAAAGTGTGACCAAGGAACACTGACCTCTCTGGCATTCCAAACTGAACAATATCTGACTTTATTTAACTGTGAATGCAAAGTAATGCAAAGTAAGTGAAGATGGCAATGTTAACTGATGCAAAAAAAAAAAAAAGTATGCAAGTTTGCTTACATTCTAGTAGGGAAAATATAGTTCAATGCTCTGTCGCTTCTCATTGACATTTATGCTTGCTTTCAGCACTTAAAGAATATTTATTTCACTATTTAAAAAAAAACAAAAAAAACCCCTCCAAACCCCAAAATGTCAGGGAGCAGCAGTCAGGACAGGCTGAAGAAGGCAAGCTGAGAGTCAACAGTGATAGCAAGGCAGGTAGAGACAGTACCCTTATTGTTAAGGATGCAGTTCCCCAGTACCTGCATGAAGCAAATGGTATAGTTTGGCCAAGAGTTTGGGTCTCCAGGCAAGTCTATAGTGATGATCTGAGATGGAGCAAGGAAGTCAGTCAACAGATCATGGTCTTATTCAGTGGGGTGCATGGCCAGGTACAAACATGGCTGCAGCATAGCTCATGTGTAGACCCAAGGACAAGTGCCGTAGTTCAAATGCAGCTCTTGAGTGGAGGAGGCCCCAGACAAGGCTTCTCACACCTCTTTCTTACAGGACTCTTTACAGTGGTCTTTAAGATTTGCCTTCAGGAATCCCTAGCACCTGAAACCAGTGGCAAAGTCTTGAGCAAAGACGACACAACCTCATTAGAGGAGGATCATGTTAGCAGACATTAAAACAAATTGGCTACATGCAAGTCTGTTGGACTCAAGGAATATACCCACAAGTGCTGAGAAAATTGGCCAAAGTCATTGTGGGATTAATCTTGGTCGTCTTAGAAAGGTAATGATGGTTGGAGGCTTCTAGAGGTAGGAGAGACATTTGCTTTTCATCAGTCCTCAAGAAGGTGTGCTGAAAACCATCTGAGCTGCCAGGCTCAAAGGATTGTGATCAGGGACATCAAGTCCAGCTGGAGGCCAGACAATAATGGTGTACCTCAGGGGCTGATAGTGGAGCCATCATTGGAGATACCCAGAACATGATTGGACACTGTCCTGGGCAGCTGGCCCTAGCAGATCCTACTTTGAGCAAAGAGGTTGAAATCGTCCATGTCCATAGGTGCCTTCCATCCTCAAGGATTCCGATTCTGTGATCCAGGGTTGCACACCTGCAAAGTGTCAATGTTGGCCTGGACCACAAGCATTTAAGCTCTGCCAAGAGTGGGGTTTTTTCCTGCAGTGTGGGTTTTTCCTACTTAATACCTATTCTTTCATAGACTACTGGATGACTGTTTTTATGGTGCAAGGAAAGGATTAATCCCAAAATAGATTCTGAGCTTCAACATACCTGCAGAAGAGATGTTTGTGCTTGAAATGGTTTCACTCCAGTGCTGTTCAATAGATACCCCAACTGTCAAAAAATACAGAAGTGTGATATAGTCTAAATGTCCCTTGCTTTTTCAGCTCATGTGTTGTCCTAGCTTCATTTGGTTTTTTATCAGGAAAGTTTGTCAGGATAGAGCCTCAGAGAAAGGATAAGGTGGAAACTGACAGATAAATGTTTTCATAGCAACATAAAAGAATTATAGACCATGCCATGCTAATTGTTACTAACTTCTTATTTAGGTTGAATTTGGTTGAAGCTTTTGTGGTGGATCCAGAACTACGTCAGTGCCTTCAAGAAGATCTCTTACGTCGCTTCCCAGATCTTAACCGGCTGGCGAAGAAATTTCAGAGACAAGCAGCAAACTTACAGGACTGTTACCGAATGTACCAGGCTATTAATCAACTGCCTAATGTGGTACAAGCACTAGAAAAACATGAAGGTAATGCTACCCCTGTATATTTTCAGTGTTTTATAATACGCTCATGATGAAATGAAGGTTGTGTGTTTTTCCAAAGATTACTTTTTTCTTGTGTACTTTTGTTGCAGGAATAAACATTAAAGACATTTGGATTTGAAACAAGCTGGAATTCTGATAAGTCAATCAGATACTTAACCATAGCCAAATATTTACATGAAAAAGCATTCTAATTAGTGTGTAGCTGAAATGCTTAAACTGTTGGGTGATGGTCTGGTAATCTTTGATGTAGGCTTGTCTCTAAGAATTCTTGACCAATTGTTTGTGTATTATGATCATAGAAGCAAGATACCATTCATACAGTATGGTTCTGTTCCTTTTGCAGACACTTTGCACTTTGGGTTGTAATTGAACACAAAAAGATCTCCAGTTTAAGCATTATTGGTGTAATTTTGATGGCTTTGTTTTGAGTTTGTTTTGTTTTTTAAATTGTTATGCTTCTGTATTTGACTAATGTGGCGTGGTTTCTTCTGATCTTCATTAGTAGGAAACACAATGCTATAACAAGCAGGTCTAGAAAATACAAAGGTTGCTATTCCTTTTCTCTAGGTGTTACTGAGAAAATGCAGAATAAGATTGTGCAGCATAACAAGGGGGTTGATTCAGTACAACAATAGCAATCCTAGCCTGGTAGAAAGCATATTTTTGTAGAAGCCCATTAATTTGTTTGAAAATCTCTTTGCATAAGGCAAATGCCAAAGCTTTAAAGAGAAATACTTTGAAATGGTATGGTTACAAAACTTTGGTTTTTTTATATATATATATAT